TAAAAAAAAAAAAAAAAAAAAAAAAAAAAAAAAATTAAAAAGAAAAATCCTTCTCTCTGCCTCACTGCTGGGCGGCCCCTGGCAAGCAGCAGGCGGGGGCCGGGAGGAACCGGCCCGCGGGCAGCAGGAGCGGCGATGTCGCGGGAAGCAAATCCATCCGGGCAGGCGGAGCGGGGATTCGCGCGGATGCAACAGTTTGGAGCCGCGTCTGGCTGGGATCGGCCCCCCCTGCTCGCTCCTCGCCTGCGCTGCAGCACTGCCGGGCGCCCGGCTCCGCCGCTCCCTCCCAGCGCCTCTTGCTGACTGCCTCTATTCAGCTCACGCCGCGGCTTAAACATTGATACTGATTCCCCGCCAGCCAATCCGCGCCGAGGAATGGAACCTGCCTCCGAGGCTGGCGGCCAATGAGGAGCGGCGGAAGGGCTGGGGGGAGGCGGGGCTAGAATCCCCAATGCTTCGGTGTCATTGATGAGATCAGTGCGATGGGAGACTAACAATGTGAGCCGGGCTCGGGGCTCGTCAGCTGCGGCGGCTCGCTCCAGCACGCTGCAGCGTCTCCCCGGCGTGAGGATGATGATGATTTCCGCCCCCCTCCGGACGAAATATTTTAGGATCGTGCCGGAGAGGGGAGGCAACTTGCCACCGAGACTTGGCTTTGTGAAATCGGCGGCCGTAGCAGGGTAGGGGGCTCACATTTGAACCCACGACCGAGATCCCTGATTCCCACGAGATCCCCTTTCTCCTCCGAGGGCAGTTCTGGGGAGGGCAGGATCGGCCTCCTTGCGAGCCAGACGCCTGCTCTACAGATCTGCACCCGGCAGGCTCCACCCCGAGCCTGCTTCTCTTTAAGCTGCTACTGGCTCAAGCCATCCCTTTAAACGCCCCCATGGACTGAGGCAGACAAGGTTGTTTGGGTAGATGGGGGATCTTTTATTAGACCAACTATGTAGTTGGGAAAATTGTTCTGTGCCAGCTCTCGGGCACAAGCGACAGCCTGTGTACTGAGACACACCAGCCCCTTCCTGTCGTCATCGTTCAGGCACACGTTGTGGAGGATCAGGCAGGATCTAGGGGCTTTCCCGCTCCCTTTCATCCCCTTCCCTGTGCCCCACTAGGCACTGCCTTGGAAACAGGCGGGTTTCGGTGTGCCCCCCCACCCTCCCCGTAACCCCTGGTGCTCGACGGAGATCTGGTGGCAACGCCTAAAGGCATCTTTTGGCCGCCTCCTGTGGGGTGCTGTCAAAGTGAACAGCTGGAAGAGCCAGCCGGGTCAGCTCCACCCCAGGAGTCCCGCCCGCAGCTTCTGCATCCATTGAAAAGCACCTGGCGTTTTCTCGCCTCCTCTCCCTTTGCCTGGATGGGTGTTTTAGTAGCGGAACTGGGAATACACCGTCTTTTCCCACCTTGTCTCCAAACGGCCACTGGGAGGGCTCTACAAACTTCCACGCTGAACATCAGACATCCCGGGCGAAGGTTTAGGGAGGGGTGGAGGGGATCGGATAGATGGATACAACTGTTGAACTAGGATAGATAGATAGATATAGGGAGGGGTGGAGGGGGTGTTGAATAGGAAAGGTGAGTGATACACCTATCTATAGATAGATGTGTATATCTATCTATCTATAGATATATATACACGTGTATATGTGTATATGTATGTACATATATCACTCACCTTTCCTATTCCAACATCCTCCTCCACCCCCCATATCTATCTATCTGTCTATCTATCTACCTTCACTTTTTATGCGTGTGTGCCTGTTTATAGCTAAAGTATTGATCTCCATTCCTAAATGCTAAAGCTGAGCTGCCCTTTATGCCGTGTGCGTATGTGAGTAGCAGGAATCATCCAGGGGAGAACAAAAATCAAACCCGGAGCAAGTACAAGAGGCTTCTGCAAATGATTTTAGGCTCGGTTGTTTCAAGGTGTGGGTTTTGTTTTTTTGTTTTTAAGGTGGTGTCTCGCTTTAGGCAGTGGGGTAACCTTCAGGCTTTCCTGGAGTTACTGTCATCGTCACTAGCACTCAAGGAAGACGTGTTGTGGATGGGTGCATTCAAATCGCTGCTCTTTCGAGGCACATCCCCGGTCCTAAAACCTCTTTGGAGCTTTGAAACGGATAGTTTGCCAGGCAGAACGATTCTGCTACGAGCCCTTGTGAAGCTAATGCCGTGTAAAACCGCTGTATGGGAATCAACTATGCATGCATTCGTTGCACCGTGAAATCATTCAACTCAAAATGCATGGACACTGAGGGAAGGAGAAGGGGGGGTGTGGTTGAGAGAAATTGTGTAAGATATCTTTATAGAAGAAAACAGGAGTCTTGATTGACTGATGGAGGTTCAGAGTGGATGGCTATCTGCTATAATTAACCTCCTTTTTTAAATAAAAGCAACACTAAAAGCAGCACATTTTATATAGTAGAAAAACAAGAGTGTCAAACTGACATCTCGGGAGTTACATGTCACTCAGCCTTAGATCTTGTGCTGTTCTGTCCTTATTATATAGCTATGCAACTCTTGCCAGGCTAAATCCTGCCCAGGATAGTTTCAGATAGCTAAATATATGACATAACATGCTCTGCGAAGATGGGGAAAAGTTTCATTGCAATTATGTAATGGCTCCCTCTAGTGTACTGAGCCAGTACTACGGCATTTGGGGCATATTTTCTGTATGCTGTGCATGTGTGTATACAGGCGGTGTCTCTGTTTTACCTTCGTTTTGGACCCAATGGGGGGCTCAAACGTGCCGAAACAACCACTGCACTGTCAGGGC